TTGTAACACAAAGTTATCAAGTACCAGTCTGTAATACAAAGTTACCATGTACCAGTCTGTAATACAAAGTTATCATGTACCAGTCTGTAACACAAAGTTATCATGTACCAGTCTGTAANATACAAAGTTATCATGTACCAGTCTGTAACACAAAGTTATCATCTACCAGTCTGTAATACAAAGTTATCATGTACCAGTCTGTAACACAAAGTTATCATGTACCAGTCTGTAATACAAAGTTATAATGTACCAGTCTGTAATACAAAGTTACCATGTACCAGTCTGTAATACAAAGTTATCATGTACCAGTCTGTTACACAAGTAACAGAGATCGTGAAGCTATACATACTGATCACAGAGATCATATACATACCCATCACAGAGGTAGTGAAGCTATACATACCCATCACAGAGATCGTATACATACCCATCACAGAGATAGTGAAGCTATACATACCCATCACAAAGATCGTATACATACCCATCGCAGAGATAGTGAAGCTATACATACCTATCACAGAGATCGTGAAGCTATACATACCCATCACACAGATAGTGAAGCTATTCATACCCATCACAGAGATCGTATAGATACACATCACAGAGATCGAGAACCTATACATACCCATCACATAGACAGTGAAGCTATACATACCAATCACATAGATAGTGAAGCTATACATACCCATCACAGAGATCGTATACATACACATCACAGAGATCGTGAACCTATACATACCCATCACAGAGACAGTGAAGCTATACATACCCATCACAGAGATCGTGTAGCTATACATACCCATCACAGAGATAGTGAAGCTATACATACCCGACACAGAGATAGTGAAGCTATACATACCAATCACAGAGATAGTGAAGCTATACATACCCATCACAGAGATACATACCCATCACAGAGATAGTGAAGCTATACATACCCATCACAGAGATAGTGAAGCTATACATACCCATCACAGAGATCATATACATACCCATCACAGAGATCTTATACATACCCATCACAAAGATCGTGAAGCTATACATACCCAACACAGAGATAGTGAAGCTATACATACCCATCACAGAGATAGTGAAGCTGTACATACCCATCACAGAGATCGTGAAGCTATACATACCCATCACAGAGATCGTATACATACCCATCACAGAGACCGAATATATACCCATCACAGAGATCGTGAACCTATACATACCCATCACAGAGATCGTGAAGTTATACAAACCCATCACAGAGATCGTATACATACCCATCACAGAGATAGTGAAGCTATGCATACCCATCACAGAGATAGTGAAGCTATACATCCCCATCACAGAGATAGTGAAGCTATACATACCCATCACAGTGATCGTGAAGCTATAGATACCCATCACAGAGATCGTATACATACCCATCACATAGATCGTATACATACCCATCACAGAGATAGTGTAAGCTATACATACCCATCACAGAGATAGTGAAGATATACATACCCATCACAGAGATAGTGAAGCTATGCATACCCATCACAGAGATAGTGAAGCTATACATACCCAGCACATAGATCGTGAAGCTATACATACCCATCACAGAGACAGTGAAGCTATACATACACATCACAGAGATCGTGAAGCTATACATACCCAGCACAGAGATCGTGAAGCTATACCTAACCATAACAGAGATAGTGAAGCTATACATACCCATCACAGATAGTGAAGCTATACATACCCATCACAGAGACAGTGAAGCTATACATACACATCACAGAGATCGTGAAGCTATACATACCCAGCACAGAGATCGTGAAGCTATACATACCCATCACAGAGACAGTGAAGCTATACATACACATCACAGAGATAGTGAAGCTATACATACCCAGCACATAGATCGTGAAGCTATACATACCCATCACAGAGACAGTGAAGCTATACATACACATCACAGAGATCGTGAAGCTATACATACCCAGCACAGAGATCGTGAAGCTATACCTAACCATAACAGAGATAGTGAAGCTATACATACCCATCACAGAGATCGTATACATACCCATCACAGAGATCGTAAACATACCCATCACAGAGATAGTGAAGCTATATATACCCAGCACATAGATCGTGAAGCTATACATACCCATCACAGAGATAGTGAAGCTATCCATACCCATCCCAGAGATCGTGAAGCTATACATACCCATCACAGAGGTAGTGAAGCTATACATACCCATCACAGATCACAGAGATCGTGAACCTATACATACCCATCACAGAGATCGTGTAAGCTATACATACCCATCACAGAGATCGTGCAGTTATACATACCCATCACAGAGATAGTGAAGCTATATACACCCAGCACATAGATCGTGAAGCTATACATACCCATCACAGATAGTGAAGCTATACATACCCATCACAAAGATCGTGAAGTTATACATACCCATCACAGAGATAGTGAAGCTATACATACCCATCACAGAGATCGTATACATACCCATCACAGAGATCGTATAGATACCCATCACAGAGATAGTGAAGCTATACATACCCATCACAGAGATCGTGAAGTTATACATACCCATCACAGAGATAGTGAAGCTATACATACCCATCACAGAGATCGTGAAGCTATACATACCCATCACAGAGATCGTATACATACCCATCACAGAGATCGTGTAGCTATACATACCAATCACAGAGATCGTATACATACCCATCACAGAGATCGTATACATACCCATCACATAGATCGTATACATACCCATCACAGAGATAGTGTAAGCTATACATACCGATCACATAGATCGTATACATACCCATCACAGAGATAGTGAAGCTATACATACCCATCACATAGATCGTATACATACCCATCACACAGATAGTGAAGCTATACATACCCATCACAGAGATCGTGAAGCTATACATACCCATCACATAGATAGTGAAGCTATACATACCCATCACATAGATCGTATACATACCCATCACACAGATAGTGAAGCTATACATACCAACCACAGAGATAGTGAAGCTATACATACTCATCACAGAGATCGTATACATACCCATCACATAGATCGTCTTCATACCCATCACACAGATAGTGAAGCTATACATTCCAATCACAGAGATAGTGAAGCTATACACACCCATCACAGAGATCGTGAAGCTAAACATACCAATCACAGAGATCGTGAAGCTATACATTCCCATCACATAGATAGTGAAGCTATACATACCCATCACACAGACCGTGAAGCTATACATACCCAGCACAGAGATCGTGAAGCTATACATACCCAGCACAGAGATCGTGAAGCTATACATACCAATCACAGAGATAGTGAAGCTATACATACCCATCACAGAGATAGTGAAGCTCTACATACCCATCACAGAGATCGTGAAACTATACATACCCATCACACAGACCGTGAAGCTATACATACCCATCACACAGATAGTGAAGCTATACATACCAATCACAGAGATAGTGAAGCTATACATACCCATCACAGAGATCGTGAAGCTATACATACCAATCACAGAGATCGTATACATACCCATCACAGAGATAGTGTAAGCTATACATACCCATCACAGAGATAGTGAAGCTATACATACCCATCACAGAGATCGTGAAGGCATCAGCGAAATGCGTGGATGCTATAAAACAAAAAAGAAAAATATAATCAATGTCTGATATACGCTTTTCAAGTTAAGAAAAATGGTGTCAACGTTTGTATAAAAAAGACACAATTTCATGTATAATATATAAAGGTAACGCCGAGGGATATTTAATTTTATGTATTTATTTACAAAAATGTGTGGTTATTAACACAACACGGCTAGGTAAATGTTGATATACAGTAAAACTTTGTCATATTGCAACCATTTGTCCAGGAAAAATGACGTTATCATGGGTTTTTTTTGTGAAAAATTGACCGACAAATCTAAAGGATTTCTGAAAGAGGGAGGAAAAGTGGACCGTGACGTATATTAGCGGTAATTATAAGCGATGTGACAAATACAATTAGGGGCATTATATAGAAGTTTTATTGCAGATACATTTTTTTCATTCAATTGGTTGATTAATGGGACTAAACGTTCTTTATTCCTCGAACGAGCAGGTGTTTTATACGTGTGGTCAAAAATGTACATTAAGTTGAATAAAAAAATATTGTACTAAAAAAGGATTGAATCTTGCTTTGGTCGAGTTCATGGGGTGATGAATTGAGTTGGTCTTGAAACAAATTTAATGAACTGCGAAGCATTTCATGTTGAATTTGTTTCAAGACTGTCTCAATTCATCACCCCATGAAATCGACCAAAGCAAGATTCAATCCTTGTATTTCAATCAGCGTGTTTTTACAATAATTGGAACTTGTGAAGTCCAATATGACCGTTTGTCTCTGGTTCTGGAGCTTGTGCAAGTCTACGTATTGACGTAATGTAAAAAAATATTTGAATGACCATCATAACAATATGATGGTGTACCTTGATAGTTCAATACAGCCAAATTCTGTAGAAACAAAACACAAAACCATATTTTGAATGTCATATTTAATTTTTGTTGGTGAATTCATAAGATATCAAATTATCTAATGTGTCATCAGGCATTCGAGGAAGAATGATGTCTAGTCGCTGTGCACAAGCTCTTCTGCAAGTCTACGGCAGCCATCTTTTTACTAGCTCGAAGTGGAGAGCTGCTAAATTTCGAGGTTCTACATCCTCTGGAATGTGAAGCTGCAGTAATTGAATGTCGAATTAGACAGGAAACCAGACGTGGCTTGAAAGGACGAAAAATTTAATATGACATTTGGCTGTTCGACTGTATTTCATATAAGACGGTACCACATGGATCTACCACAGGGGTTTGTTACAAATGTCTGAAATACACATGCTATATTAATATGGGTCACAACACACATAAACTTACATTTATACACATATGATATACTGGTTTGGGCCATCACACAAATAAACATACATTCATATGTATGTTTATGTGTGCTGTGACCCATATCAGTTATAGCATGATAGTGTATTTCAGACATTTGTAACGAACCCCTGTGGATCTACGTTGATGAACGATAATTTCTAGGGCAGTACATGACTTGTCACTACCACTCGCGACCGTGAGCTAATAATATTTCGCTGATTGGTCACTTTTGGTTGTTTGAACAATTTCTTGTGTTGCTTTAATAAAAATTGCAAATCTCAAGTGGTATATTGTTTACACATGACATGTCAATAGTTACCAAAATCATACGCATAGGCAATGTTAATCTGGTCAAATTCATCGGCAAATGAAACAGGTTACATTTGGTAGTTGCATTGAGTCCAACTTGAGTAGGAGTTGAAATATATATATTTATTCATTATTTTATTGCCTGATTTGCCAATAAATCACCGAGCCATTTATTACTAGGTACACTGTGTACGACTGATTCATGGTATATTCTGGAATGCAGGAAATGAACTTTTCGCACTATGTCTCATCCACGAATTTTTGTCCAAAACTAAAATTAGACAATTAATAACACACTATACATCATTAAATGCAGGACATCACTAGGCATTAAATTGCAACAACTCACTTGCATACAAGATATTCCAGGGGAATCGCCATTTTTTCAAGATTCTGAATAACTAATTTCAATCTCCTTGAAGAGCTTTTCTCTAACTTTCAACATTCAATGACTTAACCTCTGCCAGCAGCGGATTGGGAATTTGAAATAACAAAAATAACTTATCAGCTGCTAGCAGAAGCTTATTCGTTAAAATAAATAACTTGCAATAATTAAACTTGTTGATAGTTAAAAATAAATTTTTCAATGAGATTATAATAACTTATTCATAATTTTGAATAACGAATCCGCTGTTCGCAGCTGTTTAGTTATTCAAATTACGAACTTCCAACTACCTACCCGCTGCTAACCTCAGCCCTTGCCGCCCGATATGCCAGACTTTCCTTTCCGTAGGGTTTGTTCATTAACAACTACTGTACACCAAGTATATTAATTTTACGATATTTTCCAAAAAGAAAAAGAAAAAGAAAAGAAAAACGACATCTGCTCTTATTAATGGTTGAAGGTGCACTAATATAATACGTCCTGCCATGTTTGTTTTCCTAATATTTAAGTGCGCCAAAATTAGTACGCTTACAGTTTCTCATTTGTAAAGTCCAAGAGCACTGTAATTGTGACGTCATTGATTGATCTTTGTACTTACAATCCCAGGTTGTGTACGTCGTTCCCGGGGCATATAATAGTGTGACGTAGCCATAGTTACGGTCCCAGTCACATTCAGCTGTTCCGACAGCGTCCGTATCCTTGACGACCATCCAGCCGTTATGACTTTTACAGTCCCCGTATCCTCTCTGGATAAAGAAATTTCTTCCACTGCTTCTGTGAACAGTTTATATAGCATACGTCGTTAAGTCGACTACAGGTGATAATGTTCCGAAAACTGTTTCACATGTAGTTAAGTTAGAAAATGTATCCTGAAATAGTTGTGTTATTTTTCTTGATACACTCAAAGTGCAGTCATACCAAAAACGTTAGATTTCATAAAATATTCAGGGTACAGGATTTCAGATGTACATTAACGTATGTACCACGATTTACTTGCTCTAGCGTCGAAATGTTAACGCTTTTTAAGGTAAAAGTTACCAAACAAGTTTAACTATAATATAACCATATAAAAGCTCCGTCTGAGTCCTTTTCAAAAGAAATAGTTAACAAGAATCACAGGTGACGATGCACTTGACTGAATTATGTTTGTTCGAAATTTGAGAAAAAAGAAATAAAGAAAAAAGAATAGAAGAAAAATGCAGGGATGATCTGGCAATCTTTATACTACAAAGCCTACACTTGACTAATTTTGCCAACATGAGTTATACAAGGACAACATCTTAATGAGTATGTAAAACTTGTCAAGGGACGTTACTCTAGGCCGGAAAACCTCCCTTATGATGCTTCATTTCCTATATAGAGGGGAGAATACTCCAAATATTATTTTTTCTCTAAGTGGAACTCTTCTTCGCGATTAAAACATAAGCAGTGATACAATTTACCTCAACAACACTTTTACTCAACAGACAACGGATGCTCTTTTAGAATATATACAGTCTTGTGGCAAATTAAGGTTCAACAATGTTATACTGTGGTTAATGCATATACTTGTATTTACTCTTTTTCGAATATTACTGAAGTGAGATGAATTGCTGGTGAAATAACAAAAAAGTATCATGAAACCAAAGTTTTTCTGTAAGACGGTTTTTGTGATTTAACAATTTAATCTCGAAATCTAATTTCTACTATCAAAAACTCAACAAAATAATTTCCTTGTCATAATTTGTCACATCATGAAAACGGCCAATGGAAAGACCTAAACTATCGCCAAGAAAACCAGTCAGACAATCCTTTTGCATGACGTAAATATTTGTTTCATTAGCGTTAATTATTAATATATAATGAATTAACTGAACAAAATATAAGTAAGCAATATAGAAAGGAAAAAAACAAGTTTGTGATCTCTAATTTGGTCCAGGATTGTATCTTTTACATTGTTACAACTGATTCATACATACGAGATTTGGCATGTGGTGATGGTTTCTGTAAAAATGTCAGTGTAACTTGAATACAACAGGTTTCCACAGTCCATCCAGGTGGATTTCGTTTTTCCCGCTGCACTAAAGACGAAATAGGCTTTTTCTACATCGTTCTCCCACATAGACATGCGAACCTGTCAAAGACATGAATTAAAAATCTTTTGCAGACGCCTTTACGTGTATTTTGATATGGCTGGTGTGTACATGGATCTAAGTTATTTCGGAGGAGCATTAAAACTCCGTACACTTTTAATTCATATTACGTTTTATCGTGTTGCTAATTTGCAATATCCAAGTTATAATCTCGGAATCTGAAGTTATTAAGTCAAAATGTTTATTAAGTAAGTCGAAATTTCGTGTTAGCATCTCGAAATTTTGAGGAAAATATAATGAGCCGAAATGTTATGTTAGTAACACGAAAAAACGATTTTTGTCAAAGTTGCCCTAGTATTTTTCTGTAATTTATTTATTGGAATTTTGTCACGTATTTTCTCTTTTCCATGGAACATTTCCAGAGAGACATTTTTTTCTCTCTCATTAGCGTATGACAGATGCATAGAATCCATCCCTGATGTGAGGTATGGATCAGGTCATTCAAACCCTCGGGATAAAAAATTGAGCAGAAGACCCTCGACAAAGCCTCGGGTCTCATGCTCAATATTTTATCCCTTGGGTTTGAATAACCTTATCCATACTTCTCATCAGGGATGAATTCTATTAATCTCATCCCAAGGGAGTGAGGGATTCTATTAGTCTCACCCTAGGGTTTAGACGGGGGGACTCCCCTATTCATAACAATGGTATGACGTTACGTCAACAATATAATGACGTCACGTCAACAATCCATCAACGTCACGTCAACCTTGAATTTAGCCTGTAACGGTAACATTACATTGTGTATAACATAACCATTTATACACAATTTGTGAACAGGGTAAATGAAAAAGAATCATTCACCCCCTTGAGGGTGAGATACCCCTAAATTCAGGGTTGACGTGACGTTGATGGATTGTTGACGTGACGTCATTATATTGTTGACTACTCAAGGGAGTGAATGATTCTATCAGTCTCCCTCATCTGCGTATACAAGATAATTGTCCCATGTGAAACACCCATTTGAGATCCCACATGGTTGTACGTATAGTGATCCGTACTAGCATGACGTCACATTCAGATTATGACATATTATCATGACGTCACAACTAAAAAATGCGCCAGAACGTCAGTTGTTTGACTGGAAGTCTTGCCATTAGAAGGTGACACCACCTTAAGAAGATGAGAGTCCTTTGTGTATACGTAATCTAGATTTTTTCTATATTAAGTGCTGCTTTAGCTTTATCTTTGTCCCGTTATACAAGGCAATCATTATGTAGGCATGACGAGTAAGGCTATTCTGCTCTAGAAAATCCATATTCCACATACATATACCTACATATGATAGACTCTATTACAAAATGTAGTACATGTATATTATATGGAAAAATCTGTATGGAGAAGGTCTCCATGTTTTCTAAACAGAATCACAAGTCTGGCCCTTTGATATTTGGGTAAGATACCTATCAAATATATACACTGAACAGTGATATGCTGTTATATTTTGCAACCAAAGATATCATACCGCTGAAATGGTGCCCCAATCTTCCAGCATGGATGACCTGAACCGTGTGCCCGTAGAGTACAGATCTCGTTTGACCGAGACGCTGTCTGATACCGACCCTGTTGCATCAGTCAGAAAGGAGGCTGCACTGGTGTAACTGCTCATTCCGTCATACCTGTGAACCTTGAACAGCATCCGCCAGGCTGTCACAGAGATGGTAACTACATAGTACTGTGAATAAGCCTCCATAGAGGAGACATTGCGTTTGAAATGAATTAAAATGATTCATATAGGTATAAAAAAATATGATTAAGAAATTTGACGAAGAAAAGGACTTAAGAACACAATCTATAAATAGATAAATAATAAAGATAGAGAGACCATTTCCCGCAATGCTGGCGTCATTAATTAAACACAATACTATACCATTGCTCGTTCTGGCTGAATCACATATATTTACCATTTACATTGTAATAGAGTTGGCAGGTTAATATGCCATATATATATTATTAGTCATTTACTCTATATTTGTTCTATACATACAGATGGGACTGCAAAATGAGAGATAAACCAAGGCATACTTACGACCCTGCAGTGTTGTCAGCTGCTGGCCTGCGAAACAAACACAAATTGTACTCATATCTTGTGTTAAATAGAAAACAATATGAGAAGTGTTTGTGATAGATATCATAATGCATATGAATGTCTATAATGACAGTGAGACACGTACCGTCAGTAAATACATCGAAAATACCATGTTGTCAGAAATGTATTTGTGCTCCAAAAACCCTCTGCAGAACATACCAATAACATTTAGTGTTAATCAATGAAGCCACATGCAGAACCCTAACAAATGTTGTAGGTGCCAGTAAGCAAGGGCTGGTATATTTTTTTAAAATATCCGAAAATTTACAATGCTTGGTTTATCTACAGTGTAAATGTTTTAACGTGTATGTATAATCTATGTACTATAATATTTAGATACATGTATAGTCTAATTCCTGGTAGCTTTATGTATATTCTAATTAATAATAGGTTAATATACAGTCTAGTTAGTGCAAGGTTTATGTACAGTGTAATTACTGTAAGGTTTATGTACAGTCTTATTACTGCAAGGTTTATGTACAGTCTTATTACTGCAAGGTTTATGTACAGTCTTATTACTGTAAGGTTTATGTACAGTCTTATTACTGTGAGGTTTATGTACAGTCTTATTACTGTGATGTTTATGTACAGTCTTATTACTGTAAGGTTTATGTACAGTCTTATTTCTGTAAGGTTTATGTACAGTCTTCTTACTTTAAAGGTTTATGTACAGTCTTATTACTGGAAGGTTTATGTACAGTATTATTACTGTAAGGTTTATGTACAGTAATAAGACTGTGCATAAACCTCACAGTAATAAGACTGTGATGTTTATGTACAGTCTTATTACTGTAAGGTTTATGTACAGTGTAATTACTGCAAGGTTTATGCACAGTCTTATTACTGTAAGGTTTATGTACAGTCTTATTACTGTAAGGTTTTTGTACAGTCTTATTACTGTGAGGTTTGTATACAGTCTTTTTACTGTAAGGTTTATGTACAGTCTTATTACTGTCAGGTTTATGTACAGTCTTAGCACTGTAAGGTTTATGTACAGTCTTAGTACTGTAAGGTTCATGTAGAGTCTTATTACTTTAAAGGTTTATGTACAGTCTTATTAGTGTGAGGTTTATGTACAGTCTTATTACTGTAAGCTTTATGTACAGTCTTATTACTGTAAGGTTTATGTACAGTCTTAGTACTGTAAGGTTTATGTAGAGTCTTATTACTTTAAAGGTTTATGTACAGTCTTATTACTGTAAGGTTTTTGTACAGTCTTATTACTGTAAGGTTTGTATACAGTCTTTTTACTGTAAGGTTTATGTACAGTCTTATTACTGTAAGGTTTATGTACAGTCTTATTACTGTCAGGTTTATGTACAGTCTTAGCACTGTAAGGTTTATGTACAGTCTTAGTACTGTAAGGTTTATATACAGTCTTATTACTGTAAGGTTTATGTACAGTTTTATTACTGTAAGGTTTATGTCCAGTCTTAGTACTGTAAGGTTTTTGTACAGTCTTAGTACTGTAAGGTTTAAGTACAGTCCTAGTCCTGTAAGGTTTATGTACAGTCTTATTACTTTAAAGGTTTATGTACAGTCTTATTACTGTGAGGTTTATGTACAGTCTTAGTACTGTAAGGGTTACGTACAGTCCTAGTACTGTAAGGTTTATGTACAGTCTTATTACTTTAAAGGTTTATGTACAGTCTTATTACTGTGAGGTTTATGTACAGTCTTATTACTGTAAGGTTTTTGTACAGTCTTATTACTGTAAGGTTTGTATACAGTCTTATTATTGTAAGGTTTATGTACAGTCCTATTACTGTAAGGTTTATGTACAGTCTTTTTACTGTAAGGTTTATGTACAGTCTTATTACTGTAAGGTTTATGTACAGTCTTATTACTGACAGGTTTATGTACAGTCTTAGCACTGTAAGGTTTATGTACAGTCTTAGTACTGTAAGGTTTATGTACAGTCTTAGTACTGTAAGGCTTATGTACAGTCTTATTACTGTAAGGTTTATGGACAGTCTTATTACTGACAGGTTTATGTACAGTCTTAGCACTGTAAGGTTTATGTACAGTCTTAGTACTGGAAGGTTTATGTACAGTCTTATTACTGTAAGGTTTATGGACAGTCTTATTACTGACAGGTTTATGTACAGTCTTAGCACTGTAAGGTTTATGTACAGTCTTAGTACTGTAATGTTTAAGTACAGTCCTAGTACTGTAAGGTTTATGTACAGTCATAGTACTGTAAGGTTTATGTACAGTCATAGTACTGTAAGTTTTAAGTACAGTCTTATTTCTGTAAGGTTTATGTACAGTCTTAGTACTGTAAGGTTTAAGTACAGTCCTAGTACTGTAAGGTTTATGTACAGTCTTATTACTGTAAGGTTTAAGTACAGTCCTGGTACTGTAAGGTTTATGTACAGTCCTGTTAATGTAAGGGTTATGCACAGTGTAGTTACTGATACGTTTATCTACACTCTAATAATTGTAAGGTTTGTATACAGTCTTATTACTGCAAGGTTTATATACAGTCTTGTAATTGTTTGGTTTTAATACTCTCTTATTAGGGCCAGCCCCGTATCGGAGATACGGGTGCCCTATATTAATCAATCTGTCTGTCCGTCCGTCCATCTGTCTGTCTGCCCGTCCGTCCACAAATTTTGTTCCTGGCTAACAACTTTGGTATTTATTGATCGATTTACTTGAAACTTGATGTTATATATAGAGGAAACATGAAACAAGATGTTCAGTTCACAAAAATACACATTGATGCAAAAAGTCAAGGTAAAAGGTCAGGGCATTAGGTTCAAAGGTCAAGGTTAAATCTTGTAGCTTTTCCCTAATGAACATTTTATGACATTATGAAGCAAAGCTGTTCGGAACTACACAATGAGGCACACTGAGGTAAACTGTCGAGGTCAAAGGTCAAGGTCATTAGGTTCAAAGATCAAGGTCAATTTTTGCCTCTTTTCACTGATGAACATTTTGTGATGACATGATAACGCAAAGTTGATCAAAATTAAACAATGAGTCAAATGACCAAAGGTTAAGGTCATATGGTCAAAGGTCAAGGTTAAATTTTGTATATTTTCCTTGATGGACATTTTGTTATGACATTATGAAGCATAGTTTGTCGGAATTTAACAAAGTGTCAACTTACTGAAGGTCAAGGTCACTAGGTGAAATGTCAAGATCCAATTGAGTATATTTTCACTGGTGAACATTTCGTTATGACACTTTGAAGCAATGTTGATCGGAATAAAACAAGGAGTCATTTGACCAAAGGTCAAGGTCACTGGGTCAAACGTTCAGCTCAAATTTTGTATCTCTTCATTTAACCTGTAAGGTTTATGTACAGTTTAATTACTGTTATATAATAAACAGTCTAATTACTGTTATGTTTATGTACAGTATAATTACTGTTATGTTTAAGTACAGTCTAATTACTGTTATGTTTATATACAGAACACATTATTGTTATGTTTATATAGAGTCTAAATACTGTAATGTTTATATACAGACTAACTACTGTTATGTTTATATACAGACTAATTACTGTTATGTTTATATACAGCCTAATTACTGTTATGTTTATATACAGAACACATTATTGTTATGTTTATATAGAGCCTAAATACTGTAATGTTTATATACAGACTAACTACTGTTATGTTTATATACAGACTAATTACTGTTATGTTTATATAAAGTCTTATTACTGTTATGTTTATATACTGTCTAATTACTGTTATGTTTATATACAGACTAATTACTGTTATGCTTATATACAGTCTTATTACTGTTATGTTTATATACTGTCTAATTACTGTTATGTTTATGTAGAGTCTGACTACTGTTATGTTTATGTACAGAATTAATAACTTTTATGTTTATATACTGTCTAATTACTGTTATGTTTATATACAGTCTTATTACTGTTATGTTTATATACTGTCTAATTACTGTTATGTTTATGTAGAGTCTGATTACTGTTATGTTTATGTACAGAATTAATAACTTTTATGTTTATATACTTTCTAATTACTGTTATGTTTATGTACAGAATTAATAACTTTTATGTTCATATACTGTCTAATTACTGTTATGTTTATATACAGACTAATTACTGTTATGTTTATATACAGTTTTTTTACTGTTATGTTTATATAGAGTCTAATTACTGTTATGTTTATGTACAGAATTAATAACTTTTATGTTTATATGCTGTCTAATTACTGTGATGTTACTGTTCCGTCTACTTACCGTTAGTTGGATGCACAGTCCAATAATTGTAACAGTATGTACATGTAGAATCTAATTATTATAAGGATACTAGATTTTGAATTTGATTTCTCTATGAACAGTCTAATAATTGTAAGGTTTATGTCAATTTAGTGACTGATATATTTGTATAGATCGTCATTGCTGTAAGGATTATTAACAGTTTAATGCATATTATATTTGTGTACAGTCTAACTTTTGCTATGTGTAGTCAGCTAACAGTTTTTTTCTGAACTCTAATTACCGTAAGGTTTATGTACAATCGAGTGTATGTGAGTTTTATATACAATATAATTAGTGTAAGTTTTGTACCATCTAATTACTGTAATGTGTATGTGCAATTGTGTACGTCTTATTACTGTAAAGATTGTGTACGTCTAATTACTGTAAGAATTATGAACGTTTAGTTACTGTAAGGACAGGCTACGTCTTATTACTATTAGGACTACCTACGCCTAATTACTGTAAGGTTTATGGACGTCTAATTACTGTTAGGATTATGTACGTTAAGTTACTGTAAGGACAATGTACGTCTTATTACTGTAACGACTACGTTCGTCTAATTACTATAAGGAAAACGTACAGTCTAATTTATGTAGGGTTTATGCACGTCTAATTGCTGTGAGGATTATGCACGTTTAGTTACAGTAAGGACAGGGTACGTTTTATTACTATTGAACTACGTACGTCTAATTACTATAAGGAATACGTACGTCTAATTACTTTAAGGTTTATGTACGTTTAATTACTGTAAGGTTTTATTTATGTTCATTCTAATTACTGTTAGGTTTGTTCAATTTAAATATTGTATGGTTGATGTGCAATCCTGTGACTATTATTTTTATATATCGTAATTACTTTCAGGATTATGTGCGTTGAATTACTGTATGGATTACGTACAGTCTAATTACTGTATGGATTATGTAAAGTATGATGACTGTATGGATTATGTAAAGTATGATGACTGTATGGATTATGTAAAGTATGATAACTGAATAGTTTTTGTTTACAGTGTAATAACTGTTAGGGTTATGCTAATTTACAACCTTTTATGTTTGTTTTGTGTCCAGTCTTTTATACTATTATATTTGTTTACAGTATGGCTTCTTTGAGGTTTGAATACACTCTAATTTTCTAAAGATTGCATAAAAAATACTTATTTTTAGCTTAGATACAGTCGAACTATTGATAGTTTTTTAAAATTATAAATAGTCTAAAGTGTGTGTACAGTTCATTGCCTGTCAGGTTTGCGTTCAGTCTGATAATTCTTAGGTTTGTTTACAATCTTGTTATTGTTAGTTGATGTATTGTGTAATCACTGTAAGATCTATGTACAATCTCATTACTGTAAAGCTTGTATACAGTCGAATTGCTGTAATGTGTTTGTACAATGTGATTTTACTGATTGGTTTGTATATGTTTACAGTCTGGTTACCCCTCTTAATTTTCAGTACTTAAAGTCGGGTTACAAATAACTATTTCTTTAATGGTTACATAAAATGTTCATTTCTATAACTTACTATTTAAACTGTTGGATAATGTGGTTTATTAGTCATGCAAGTGTGATGATTTAAAATATGTACTTTATAATGCCTGTATATGATATGCTGTGTACTTTTGGCAGATGAACGTTGATGATCCATTGGCATAATCTTTGATTTTACCGTGGTGTACGAAGAAGGCATTCTCATGTGGTGATCATGTGCGAAAATCTAAGCCAGCAAATGGGTAGTGTTTCTTCAGTTTATAATCATTAAGAGCAAAATCAGTTGCATATCTGATAGAAGTTTGCAGCTGAATCTATACATAATTTACTGATATTGGCATGAAAATAGTGTCCTCTTCATGATTTTAAGTTACATGTAGATAAATACAAAATGAACATAAAATGCTTTCTACACTTTCATGAGAGTTATGCGTATATACTCCAAAACTACCAAACTAATTTTAATGTGAGTTTTTTTAACAAGCTGTACATTCACACACTATGTCGGAATATGATAATGATGTGTTGAATAAATTATGGCCTTATTTATCTACTGCAAATGTGAAAACCATACAATGTCCGAGCATAATATTTGACATTGGCATAAGGCAAAAGTGAATTGAAGGTATTTCAAGAGTTTAAAAAGCTGTTTAATTATACGGATATCAATTGTATCAAACTATACATTTTTCTAAAACTCTCAGAATTCGACTTCCATGGTAACACAGAGATAATATTTAATGAAGAAAACATGAATTGAACTTATTTCCATAATCGAAACGAGAGTCGTTAAATAGTTATACAAATATCCATATTGTATAATTTAACATGTTTTATTTCAAGATTTCGAAATCCTTGGCAACAAAGATATAATATTCTATTTAAGAAAGAAAAATAATCGAAATAAGTTTCCTTTATCATGCTACTTGAAATTAAACAAAACATTTTTGAATGATAACCGTGTCAAAATTGGATGTGGTTAAGGAAGTTCACATTTATGTCAACTCCTTCAAACCAAATACTTACCTTTGCTCTGTTGCCAAATGTTAATCAATATCACCAATATTCGTAACCACTTCATACTATCTCTGTGTGTCCTTTCAATATTTCAGGACTATAGAATAAATCACGATTCCATAGTCTCAATCCTCCAACTAATAAACGTAGTGGAATCCCACTAAACATCAGGTGAAATATTACAACAAAGACCTACATTGTCAACCGATGGTACAGTGTAGCTGTAACGGCTACGTGCATAAGGCCTACCCGATTTTTATTCTGCGAGCAATGCAAGCTTACTTGGCAATAAAAATGAAGCAACATTGATCAGTTGAGTTTCAAATATGTAAATATGTACCAATGGGATATATAATGTTATTATCAAAACTAGTTTTCTCAAGAACAAAAAGGGATGTTGCGTTTTAATAGCCGCGCACAGTTTCATTAACCTTTATTTTTCTTAAATGTCAATCTCACATATCTTCAAATGTTTTGGCTACGAGTAAAAACAATAAGCTACGTTATGTCTGCCTGATCAGATGTGCGATACACAAACAGTGCAATGACCCAGGTGATCGAGTAGGTATACCAAATATTTTATTGTACATACACGAGCTATAAAACAGAACACAAAATATGTGGATAATGTTTAATGAACAAGAGTTTCATTTTTTAATTAGTGATCATAATTCAGAACTCTTTTTTACATTATAAACATGTATACTAAGAACATGTTGCATTTTCGCAATGTGTAACATAATTAAAATGGTTAAATATAGAATATAAACAGGAGGAATATTTGCATTTTCATTTTATCATCGTGATTCCAACAACATAAAATGTTGATGATTAGGGAGAAAGCAGTGTATACGCAGAGTACATAATCAAAGCATATCATCACGAACACTTAATTATGGTACAAACTATAAAAACATAACGTTTTAGATACAATATTGAAATTAAAAGCTACACAATACCTATAATATAGTGTAGTGTTATGCCATTTGTTTGTATAATACTAGTGATTCTAATATTGTTCATGAAGTTCTTAAAACAAGGCTTTTTTTGTAATATGTTTCAGTAATAGTGTGTTTAAAGCTAGCTACTACAGACTCGCCGAAAATGTTGTTTCTATTCCTATACATGAAACACTTAAAGGTATCGAGTTTATTCATTATAGCCAAGTAAGACAATGCTATAAAACGCTAGAGAGGGTCATACTTCAGTCACCGCGTAAATCAAAACACGCTTTTGGATGTAGATCTCACTGTGACGTACCGAGATATCTGAGACTGTGACAATAGGTATATCCGTTATCGGTGTAACGTCTTAAGATACACAGGACTGATATCATAGTTTGACTACAAAAGCACTAACAGACCTTTTGGCATGATATCTATCTATTGTATTTCATGTAATTTGACATACACGTATACTGCTGTGTTTCCGCAAGTAGCACATACTATCGAACATAACATTTATAAAATTATTCACTGATATCGTTGAAGACTAATTGACATTTCTTCAGTGATTAATACGCAATGTTACCTATAGATAATAATAAATTTGCAACCAAGGGTAAATACAATTTATTATTGGTTTTGTTTTTGGAATGAACAAGATATATCCATATTTCCATATTACCATATATATCTAAACAAGACTGCGTGCGTTTTGTAAAAACCAAAATTCACATCAGCGGGTAGTTTTCAGGCACACTCCTTGCAATTGATTAATACAATGATATAGTTTTTGTATCACAGGTAGGATGTATTAATTTTAATTTGAATTAAACATCAAAGACTCGTTTTGACTCGTACGGTTTTCGTCCACATTCTGTACCTAAGCAAACTGTAGGTGAAAATAAAGGTAAGTCTAGTTAACATTTAGATAGCGTGCAGTCCATATCCGGAATGTTTCATCATTCAAGCATAGAGGAATAAGTGGTTATTTTGTTGAAAATGCGTTCGACTTTATATACTAGTAGTAAACTAACACATTGATAACTAACAAGCATAAATGAAAAGAAAATCGAATTTACCATTTGCTTTCTACTTGGAGGATTTCTAATATGGAACATGATACATACATGTACAAAAATGTTTTTTTTCATTGGATACATTGTATGTACTGTATGAGTGATATAAGCATATTTAAACATAAAAATTCAAAACAAATGGCGAAAACGAATACATAACGTAGAGCAGCATTGAATAAAGTGATAACATATGCATAAACTGTGAAGTAAAATATGGATAATAATGTACTGATAAAATTATTAATTAATATAACGAGTAGGACTGCTTTTTTTCCTCCTAAAGTGTTATTTCCCTGTGAAATTTAGGTAATTTCTACAAAATTCATTTAAAGACAATTCTTAGTAGCAGATTATTTTAGGGAGTTATGATATTTTGAAATAATTCTGAATAAATTTACTGTAATCATGTACATTACAACTATGACCAGTAGTGAAGAGAATAAGACCTTTGATTTATAATTTATAGAACCAGGGATAAAATCCATGTGTCGGTTATATATGTGTGTCGTGTTTGTGAAAAGGCAAAACATTATAAATGTCTTATTTGCGTATCACTTGTTAGTATATAAAATAGGTAAGTAACAACTTGCCAAGATAAATACGTAACATATTTGTATCTTCATTGACGATACAACACGTATCGTTTTTGCCAACTGTAACCAATCCGTCATCAACAATGAACATACATCACTATCGTACAGTAACAATCAAGGCTCGTTTAATCCAGAAATACTATCAAGAAATCAATATCCGGATTAACATTTTGTTTGGAAGGAAATGAAAGTCGTTTAAAGTCATATGTCATATGACTTTTGACAATACATGTTTTTACAAAAAGCTTTAGTGTCTATTCACCCATCTAGATCTTTGCAACATAGACCTAGTGACCAAGCGTTGGCTGAAAAAATGACTTTGTTGTACACCTTAAACATGTTGTCAAATTGGAAATTTGGTCAATCAGATATTTGGCCACTTTCCCCCTGTAAAAAAAAATAAAATTCTTAACATAAGAATGAAGTTCCAGAATAGCCGTTTGACATGTTCACACATCTGCTTTTGTTTGCACTTAATGCATCAATAATAGAACCAGCAGCTTTTCTCCTGTGCTTAAATCCATTTGCGAATATCAGTAACAGAGGTTAATATAACCGTTATCTTATATATAAGCTCACAATGTAAATGTTGATACTTCTGTTGTATCCGTATTTTATAGTGTCTTAGGAAATAAGCGTCAACAAGACTAAAAAACCCAAGTACGATTCCTTTGTCGATATCACAAATATTAATTAATTTCAGTGTCCGTATATAATTACACATTGATGTATGACGCTTATAATCCATATAAAAAGATTTGTCGGTTTGCAGAAAGTTACACTGACTTTCATATCAGAAAAGATCACCACTAATCTTCGTTGATGATGACGTAATTTGATTCCGGATCGCAAACAGAACGGTGCAAACGATAATGAAGTAATGCTCGGTTTGCAGAAAGTTACATTGACTTTCATATCAGTTTACGTATAATCCAGCAAAGATCACCACTAATCTTCGTTGATGATGATGATGTTATTTAATTCCGGATCGCAAAACATTGTAGCAAACAGAACGATGTAAGCGATAATGAAGGTGATTTGCCGGTTTGTAGAAAGTTCCTCGTCGTTGACTTTTATATAAGTTTACTTATAATCCAGAATAGATCTCCACTAATCTTCGTAGACGATGACATAATTTAATTCCGGATCGCAAAACATTGTAGCAAACAGAATGGTGCATGCGATAATGAAGGTGATCATGATGGGTATAAGACTACACATCATTGCGAGGAAAAACCAGGCTGTAAAATAACAGAATGAAAAAATAAACGTCTAATTGGTGTATATACCCAATTTTTCATTTAAATGAGAAATAAAAATACCGCATCTCGGCAAAGGAAAGAAAAAAGAATACCGAGAAATAAACAGAAGTGTTATTCGAATTCAAAATCGATAAAACTAGGGAAAATAATGATTGACATAAAGAAATTACTTGCATGGTAACTCTTGAAAAAATGTAAAGAAATAAGATCAGATGTCCCGGAAAGGTAAGCGTCTTCTGTTTCAGCGACGACATTTAGATTATGTTAAAAATCACAAGTTTGAGCTATTCAGATTTCTTTTTACGGTTTGAAATAATCCATACTTACTGGGTGGGAGGTAGGCCTCTTTGATAACGATGTTTGTAATATCGATGTCAATGAAACTCATCGATGTCCCTGTGTCATCGGAACAGCATACTCTAAGTTTATAGAAATCGCTTATTTCTTTGTAGTCAAAGGCGGCGCTTGCTGTTAGAAATATGTTGAATGCTAAAAAATGAAGGCGAAATAAAAGAATCGATGTGAGTTTTTTTTTTCTTCACAAAACAACGTTAGGTTTTGCATGACTTAGGTAACATGAATTCGAATAAGATAGTATTTCCATTCGTTGATGAAAAAAAGGAAATGTGCCAATGCTTCTGTATGTTATATATGTAATAGAATTGTTATTATGACGTTACTATTCTCATCATATTTCAGGGTCGGGAATTTAAACCCTATTTAGATACAAACTTGCAGACATCATACTTAATAATGAAAAAAACGAAACAACTGTCAACTTATTCGAATTAATCTTTTTTGATGATTTTCTTACTTTCGTCAGTTTATTTAAATAGTTTTATCAGACTTGAAAAGCAATTAATAAAAATAATCTAAAAAATGAAAAAAAATAAAATATTCGGCAAAGTTGAATTATGATTGTGATGCAATGTCATGTCCATTTTACCTCCAGTATTATCATAGTAGAAGTTGAGAAAAACTCACACCGTCTGAACACAACGACAATATCTGGGCGCGTATTTATGAAACTTATCATGCTGGAACTTAAATGTTGTACTAAAGTCCATTTGCTTTTCTGGTGATAAATCAAAAATGCTTAACTTGATTTGATGAAATCAACAGAAACTTTAAGAATATTAATGTTTTCAATGTGTACATTTCATTTTCTGATCGTGTCATAGGATTTAACCAAGCTTCAATATAAAGAGGCCTACGCACAGAATCCATGCTTATGCAGGGGAGCGATCTCATATATTCTGAATTAAAAGTCGATGAAATGAACTGAGGAGAAACCAAAACAAAATAAAATGGGTAATGGATCCCAAATAAAACCCTTGTAGGTTGAACTATTGCTTTCTTAATACATGTGGTATTTGTGGGAGTTTTGCCGATGGCAACCGTATACATGTAAGTATGTTTATAATTAATTATAAGTTTATATAACAATATTCTAATTAAAACCCGGTATTTTCATTCATACAAATGTAGTTAAGTTAGTTGAGCTATCAACATTTGATTAAACATGTGAATGTGTGTTTTGTTCATTATTAAAGCATGCAGATAACATGTGTTTGCGGTAACGGTCAATCGTTTTAGATATTAAACAAAATGTAGCTAAAATAAGAGCACATCCGTCGCTTTACCCTTGAAACGAACTGAATTCATTGTCAACAATAGCAAATTATATAGCTCAGAGTCACACATAGAAATAGTCAAGTAACTCTACTTGATGATTGAATGAATGCTGTATTCCTGCCAAAGCCATTAACCGCGGTACATGTAAGTGTGTAAGCCTTAAATAAAACCAATCCAAATGCGAAATCAGTATCTGATCGTCACATTTTGTGACCCGTTAATCAATTGTGTGTATGCATCTGTGACATTTAACACACGCGTGTCATACTGACAATGCTTTGTTCCACGCTGCTGTGATTGAGTGTTGGTTAAACTACGCTAGATTAAACAATATGCCACTTCAAAAAGATAATCCTATGTTATGACAAAGTGGCGACGATTTGTTATCAAACACGCTGGAAAACCGTTTGTCACATACATGGCACGTAAAATTGATATGTTGATAATTGTAGTAAAACAGTGATATGTGTGTACTCGATCGTTATATCATGTTCTGGTTACTATAAAATATACAAACGAAACATATTTTTTTTCTTGATTATATTACATATTGTAATATGATGATTGGTCGCATATAGGTGTATTTTAACCAAATAACTATTGTTTATATGAACAATTACCTTTAAGTTGTGCTAGTGTAATTACCAACTAGACCCAGTAGGAGTACTCTATTGTTGTTAAATTTCGTGGATTTACTGGTATAGAAATTGTAATAAGAGCATGGGTACAGAAAATTATGTATTGTCTTTATGATTTTTACCTGTAGAAAATGAAAATGTTTTTAGTTCTATCTATATTGATCTGAACCGATGGTGAATATGTCTTTTACACATTTATATTCTTTCTAAAAAGGTAGTTTTTGGGCCATTTATAATTTGAGGATTGCTGTCTTATGTGTAATTACATTCCTGGCATAGATACGCAAATGAATTATGTAAAGGTCCAGTTATTGAAAATGCACATGTTAATACAAAATATCGATTATTTTTTTATTTTGTTCTGCCCATTGATGTTAATGATATCAACTCTCTATTTAGAAAAAGGAAATTGGTTATCGAGCATAGCATAAAGGACTATCATACATGTACATATCTGCAACCAAAAAAAGTAGCACTTTAGTTTGCATTAGAGGCACAGTAGTCTAGTGGCAGGACGCCGGGCTCGTGACCAAAGGGTTGCGGGTTCGAGTCACGTCTTGGCACTGTGTTGTATTGTTGAACAAGATACTTTACTCCAATCGTTTCAGTCTACTCATATAAAAATAAGCACGTGGTGTCGCAGTGGTAGACTTGTTGATTGCTAGCTGACAGCGCCACAATGACAGCACCGGCTATGTGCTCCACAGGGAGTTGAGAAAGACATTGGCTGGTAGCGAAGGCCCTGAAACCACGGATACTGTTTTTGTGAACCATTTGAGACAACCTACGACACCAACTAGGTTGTGATAAAGCGGTATATAAGATCCTCGAATTATTATTAATTACAATCATTTTTATAAATAAAAAAAAAGAAAACTTACAATTATTTGTGAATTTCATTTCAAAGTTGAAGGTGGCTGGTTCCACTTTCGCCAGAGTACAGCATATAGAGTCGTTGTTGGAAGGGTCATACACATCTACCTGCCAAATCAGCTTAGCTCCAGACACATCCTCTGCGATAGTAAGTTCCGTCGGAAGATTTAGGTAAACAGGAGGCTTGAAAAGTTTCAAGGAAAATTACAATTCCGCAAGGAATTAAATGATTTTTTAATGTAAAAAATAGAAATATAGCAAACAAAAACATACCTTATTACGAATACAGCAGGATAAAATCGAAACTGTAAGCCGACAAGAAACAAATAAGAAAATACATCGATGTCAACAGAACCTTCACTCAAAATCGATTAAAGATCGAAATAGGTTCAAAAAAAATTATTATGTGGAGACCTTAGAAAATGTTAAAGGTAAGTAAGAGCAGATGTTTTATAAAGGTTCACGTTTTCTTCAATCATCTTTATTTCAGTAGCCCTTTAATAATATGCATTCACAACACTGACCACGAATTGAATGTTCCTCAACACTAACCATATTTCATTAGAAAATGTATTGCATAAATTTACGTTATATGAATGTCGACTATGTTGATAATACCACATGGTGTGATCTATTGTACCGTTTTTGTTACTTAGTTCTGGTTTTGAGGACAGGGCGTAATATTGCTTGAATATGACCTAGATTTACAACGCAGGTGTCGGCGATGAATCAGAAGACTCGAACCCTTCCGGAATATCTGGTCTTATTTCCTAGAATTTTTTAAGGTTATCTTTGCAAAAATGTCCAGTGTTATTTGTTGTCCTTAGTTCTGTCAATTTGAGTTAAAAAAAAACGTGTTTTTTTACACTTCTTGGTATTATTTTGTTATATTTATAATATTCGTAGTAAATGTTAATTTACAAACCGCATTATACGTAGTTAAAGTGTAGGTAGTGGTGATTGATTGGCTACATGTGTCTGTAGATGTTAGTCGTATACTGTAAACATTGTAATCTTTCGGCAGTGCCCGTTTCACTTGCAGGAACAGCCGTGCTGAAATAATAATATAAAAAGACAATCAAATACGGTTTGCGCCTATTGAGATATAATGACGTTTTTCTCATAGTTGAACAATCAGCGTTTCGCTTTCCGTAACGAAGGCAAATTTAATCGTTGACCAGAGATGATTATTAAAGTTATTAAAACCACCTGAAGAGATTTGATCTTTCTTTTGTGATTGTTGATGTAATGATGACCAAAATGGACTGTCTGCTTTGCTAAAGAGTTACCGTATCATGGGAAACTTTCTCCCTTCGCCAGTAAAATGCATATTGGCTAACATTAATTTTACCCTTTATAATAGATTAACATATATATTCTGGTTTTTTTACTAATTTTCACTGTAAAATTATTTTGCTCTCATTGTGAAGTTAGGAAATGGCGAAAGCAAAATTCAGCTAATTTTTCCCGTTATACAGTTACCATTTACATTAGCGTAGCTTGTTCACTTAATACAGTATGTTCTGTGCACAGTTATAGATATTAAGTTTCACTATATACCACGTTAAATCACATGTTATGCGTATGTATCTACTTGTTTGATGTATAAAATACCAATTTAAGAATATGTTTATAAAAAAAACTACTTGGGTCAAAAGTTGAGTTTAATTCAAAGTAGTCCTCTGGGTGACTGATAGAATGGGTAAGAGGGTCGCCAACTTCGTCAGTAAATATCGCGTAGTCTATAGCAAATGTTCCAACAGGTTCATGATCCTTAACAAAAGCTGAATAGTCGGTCTGGTTTACGTAAGGTGCAGTATCTAAACACATGAAAACAATATCAACACAAGTAAACATACGTAGTAAGAAACATCCACAAAACCTTTGATACATTGACGAATAGCGTAATGCTGCTTGTTGGTTTACTTGTTGATACAATTTAAAAGCAAAACGAATTAGTATTCGATCACAGTGAATGTTCAACATTTTACTGAAAAGTGTAAATATTTCTCTTTTGCTAACATCGTTTTTTATAAGTTTGCTAAAAACTGTACGTTAAGTACGAAGAACTTACTTTGGTTCGTGTAAAACTTAATTGCATATGCCCTGTCCGTGAGTGTTTCCACGCCCCCGTTGGTGTTCCAAGCAAACGAATCCCCAGCAGTTGGCTCAGAAGCAAATGGAGCTTTCTTGGTTGCATTTGGACAAGTTTCCTCCCCCGTACAGGTTATAAATGGAATCAGATTCGGTCCGGATGTATACCTTTAAATATAATGTTTTTTTTTCGGTTTTTATAATCCACTAGTTGATACATCTCTGAGCAGTTTGGGACTATTCATGAGTACATGTGTACACTCAGGTATTTTTTGCCGGGACATCTATATTGAAAGGTTGACATAGGAAGAGAAAATATTCATAAATTCTAAGATTCAAATCAAGTGAAAGCTTTGTGGCATGATCATAATGTTCCATCAATATTTTTTAATTCAGATGTGGCAAATTAAAAACGTTTGCATTTTTTCACAAAAAGGAATTTACTAAATAGTCGATGCTCTTGTGATAGTGTAACAAGGGATAGTCAAGTCAATTTCATTGATCCTCTTATATCAACCATGTCTAATAGAAACATTATAACAGCCAAAAACATGAAAAAGATAGGGAACAAACAATAGCCAAATTTAAAAAAATCATTTAATCTATTGATACACTAAGAAAGGATAATTGAATATCGGACCGGAAATAAATAGTATTACAGACAGAGCATGGCAGTTGTATGGATTACCAATGAAGTCTTTTGTTGAATATTTTGAAACAAAAATTAAGAAAGCAAAATATTACCATCCGACATTGTCGCCCGTTTTAGTTATCATTCGCTGACCAATTGGAAATGTGTAGTTTACTGCCACGGTGCCATTGGCATCTGACGCTGTAATGGAACACGGCATTAAGTTATAACATAGCGATAAACACCAATAAAAGCTCGACAAAGAATGTACTAAAATGCTCTACACTATACATAAGTACCACAGACACCATACTTAGTGTATGAATGTACAGCATAAATTAACTACGTAAAGACCTTCAACACAACATTGAACAGAAAACTAATGAAAGACAGCAGTAAACAAATGCCGGACAACTGTGACAGAGAATCGCAACGAAATGCACTTCATAATCACCTCCACAGCGACACTAAATGTACAGCATCAGACACTGAAGGCTGAGTTTACATACATGTTAAAACGGATTAAGTTGACCTTTTCTGCAGAATGTTTTTCTTTCACCAAATCATACTTGCTAGATATGAACTATTGAATATAGCGATCAGCAATTAATCAAACAAATTATTTCAACATTTCAGTAAATTGTAACATTCTCTCAAACATATAATATATAATATTATGTATGCAAATTACCCCGCTATCCTGGACAACTCACCCGTTACAACATATGACGCCGTCGCCACGACAATATAGGTACTACCAGATGCCCTCCACACAATAAAAGTTACTGTTCCCTCGTGTAACGGCATGAACTCAATGGCTTCCAACACTTCACAGCAGATAATTTCCCACCATGTGTTGGTCAGCAGGAAGCCAACTCCTGTTATAAATACCATCGGATTATAAATTGTTACTTGGAATGACCGAGGTTGTAACATTTGACATCAGTAGCAATATTTATATATATATATTTTTATTATATTGTCAATTATTTAAATGTAATTGTATATTTCAAAGGAATATATAATTTGTTTATCAGAATATGATACTGTCTTTATCTCGTATCGAACATGTATTTAGCAAGGTTGTCCACATCACTATACGCTTTCGAAATTCCTGTAATATGTGTTTGCATGATGCATCTTAAAACGTTATATCTTATGGTACAATAAAATGAAAACACACGTTTTGAAGTCAAAGCTGTATTTCTTATGCTTCTATAGTATTTCTTTACAATTAAAATACATCGTAAGTTATACCAATCAGTGGATAACATTTGATATACATATGATTTAATTCAAGGGCAAATTATTAACATACTGATATGATACACTGTAACCCAATCTTCAAAAACAAGAAAAAGATTAGCACTTGAAGTCACACATATAAAATCAACTAACAGCTTAGATTGTGAAACTTAGTACCACATGATAATGCGATTATGACAAAAGTTACAAACCTGCGGTTGAGTCGTTATACGCCGTCATATTTGATGGCTCAAAGTCCTTGTAACCGGATGCATGCTCTCCACACACTGGAACAAACAGCGAGATCCATAGGTAACAAACGTATCGCCTGTACAACACAGAGAGCGACGAAACATGAAATTTACGGGTCCTTGATACACGTAACAAGAATGGGTAGAATATTAGTTTACAAATTGCATGTACTACACTCACAGTGATGAAGGTATGGATCTTAACAATGAGAACGAGGGCATATTGGTTACAATCTGACAACACGACAATACATGTCACAGCAATAAAAGAGGCTGATTTCGTTTAATCATCTGTGTTGTTTTATTACTCCGAGAAGAAACATCACCAAGTAGACCTATATAAGTGTAGGGGAAAAACCTGAAATGTAAAAAATGACTGCCTTAGTAAAAGTATAAGTTACAATTTAATTAGTTATTTTCCCGAAATATAATCAACATTACAGTAACTTTGAATATATACATGGATAATTACCTTCATCGACTATCAAGTCGTGTCAGTGTCAATATATAGTTATATGATCCACGTCCGGACTCCGGAGGACGTCCAGTACGTATATGTTGGATATATGTAGCTCCGGCTGTCACTGCGCGACTCCGCGATTGTATAGTTGGTTTTATTCCAAACTCACTCTCACAACGCACGACGTTCGCACCTGTCACACATGGACACGTTCTCAAGACATCACCAAATATGGACAATCACCGACACTACTGGACAGGTAACACACCAAATATGGACATACACGTCAAGATACGAAGAGTAACGAACACGCATCGGACAGAACACAGACAATAGACATAGGGACTGTCCCTAATAGGACACGTGTACTAGACTCAAACAACTCTATGTTTACATATACACATGACTATACCTTGGTATGTCCCTTTGACATATAGTAATGACATTTAAATGGAACAGAAATATACAATATAACTGTGATAATAAACAGTGAGCGTGCTAGATTGAATATTGAGAAACAGATACATTAATGAACCATAGTACCCAATCATACCAAAAATTGTATTATTTAGGTCCAGATACATATGTTATGATTATTTACCTGGACATTCGTTGGTGAAGCAGGATTTGCTGTCGTCAAGTGTTTCCGTACATCCGGTCCCCGGGTCTATCGGTAGGGGATTGTCACATGTGCGACTCCTAGTTCGCGTCCCGCCCCCACAGGTCTGTGAGCACAATGACCAAGGCTGCCATGTACTCACACCTCCCGTACCTATAGTTAAGACGATTTGAGAATACTCGATTTGCGATACTTTGAACTCACAATGAGATAATTGGAACGGTACGCCTATGTTTTTTCTTCAAAATTTCTTGGGTAAAACAATATATTAAACTATTGACACATTTTTATATTTTATACCCATTACTGTATCCTAATTCGGTGTATAATGGCACTCGCTCGTACCTTATAGCATTAACAATTTGCTAATCTCTCGTTTTGTGTACTGTATTTTTGAAACATTAAAGAAAACACCAGTTGTATTTGAAAATCTGTTATGAACATTTTCAGAATCCATTAACGTTCGGATATCAGGATGTGCTTGAAATGGAATGACGAAATATATAACGAAATAGCATATTAAATATCCATGACCCACCGAAGTCATAGCACTCTAGATATATTTTGTAAAAAAAAAAAAAAAAATGTCATTTCCTTTAATTGTTTGTTATTTTCGTAAAAGAAACTGTTTCACTGTAAGTATGGGTTTCTTTTCAGAAATAATTCTTAAAAGTAAAATTCGTGTCGGGAAAAGCTAATTCGTAGAATCATCTATCAGTTTTAGCAACGGTTCAGGGATCCTTAACTCACTCATAACTGAAACATAATGAACTATTTCTACCTTTGTATGGAAGAATTCAAATATGTCTTCATGGGTGAATGATAACTTTAGTGTACTTACGTCCGCATTTAAAAGTCGCGTATCCACTGATGTAGGAGTCAGTACATGAATAGCTGACCGAACAATCGTCACAGTTACTGCTAGTGTATCCGGTGAACAGAGAATCATCAAAGCTTACAGTACATGACACTTCGCCGTCACACCGATTCTGTACTCGGGAGAGGGAGCTGGTATCGTAGCAGTCAGAATAGCTACTGTAGCGACCGTAGTACGCTGTCTGGGTATATATCGTGAATGTTGCTGGGCACGTCATCGTGTAGCTGTTTCCTTTTGATATGGTACCACTTGAGTATACTGAATAACAATAGAATCACAATAGATATTGGACAACAGTGGGGAAATGTCTGAATTTCCCCCCCATTCGGGATTGGTTGGTGGTACAGTATTAATCGTCACTTTATCAGATAAGGTAATTTCAGGACGTTCCATTAGGGAGAAAGAGAGAAACCTAGTATCCTTACATTGTGTCTACAAAATATTTATTGTGACCTTTTTGTGTCAATATATATCATAGGTCTATGCATTTATTGAATTTAAAGAAAAGCCAGACAAGGGAAAGCAGATAACATGGCAAATAAGGCGACAAATCTAATAGCTATCTAAAATATAAAACAAAATACATAAAGACGATATTTTACGTTTTCATACTAAATCAATACATTAACCTCTGAAACATAATGAAACAAACAAAATCTCTGAACCGAAATATCAAATTAATAGGTGTAAATACCGGAAATGAATGTTTTGAGGTGTGTATTTCATCTGATCCAGTTATTTGGTCTTTATAACGTGTTTAATATCAAATCAGTGATTACAAAACTATATGCAACTGTGTAAATTGCTTTCACACGCAACGAGAGAGTTACTGATAAATAACATGAAACGCGTGACTGTTTGACGCACAAACAAAATTGCTTATCTTATGTTTATGTATGAACAGCATAGCAATTAACTAAAAGCTTATTGATTTAACGGCTATGGTTTAGTTATTATTTGGCAATTCAATGTACGAGTCTATTATCCCAATTTACGACTGAATTTAGCATATTATCGAATTCTAAACGATACGCGTAATGATTAATTCTCACATTCACAATATGTAAAATAGGAAACTTATACAGCAACTTGCATATACAAAGGCATACATTAACATGATGTTTAAAGCATGAAACGCGCTAAAATTGAAATATCACTTAAATCTGTACGTTTATAGAATAAGTATACTTACGTGGACACGCTTCGCTCACAGGATCGCAGACTTCACTCTCAGAGGAAGTGCCGGTACAGGTGATCCCATTTCCGGCCGCCACCGGGTTGGTGCATGACCTAGAGCGACTGTGTGTTCCCTGATCATGACAGGAAGTGCTACAGGTTGTCCAGTCACTCCAGGCCGTCCAGTTGGCGTCAACTATGCAAATTACATCCACATTAGATGGGAGAACAATAACGGACCCCCCAAAAAAATATGACAAGTTCTATGAAATAATGACTTGTAACAATTACATAGCGATGTGCCAAATGTCATATTTGCTTTACAAGCAAATCACAAATTCATTTCAAACACGAACTCTTTTATGATATAACTGCATTTTTAATTCATGAAAATATCGTGTCTTCATTTATCAATTGAAAAAAATGAGTTCACTTAAGATGATTTCGACTAAGTGTTGCCTAATTTTCATATCAATTTACACCAATTATTTTTGATAGCCTAACGACTAGCTTTAATTCGGTTCTTAACGGGCTTTACGCTTTTTTGACTTGATCCGTTTTATGTTTATCGGAGGAATAGAGAGTTATGCGGTGAAAAAATAAGCTCATTGCTTAGTTCGTGTTTTATATCATGCAATGTCATCAAATGGGACAACCGACTAAAAAAGGAATAAATTAAGACATGAAGATATCTGCTTCGAAATGTTATTTGGACGTTCCATGTGTTAACTCAGGTAAACGTTTGGTATCGTTGGTATGATACTGACAGGCTGACAAATGTGACCTTTATATTCAACAGAATTTCGTTTAAACGTAAATTTTATACTAAACACATGTATTTAATAGGAAAAAAAGCTAACCCATTTAAAGTACCAGCAATTACACCAACGTGTCACTATTGTGAAATACTCGTTTAAGACCTTCTCAAAAGAAATATTTTATAAAAATCCCGTTTCTATGCTTTTGACAGAAATGTGATTGATTGAAATGTAAATGTTTAAAAATTGAAATATATAAGAAAAAAGAAATTTGCACTGGCCAAATATTTAAAAGTCTAAACTTAACCAATGTTGGTATACAGGAATAATACAAGCACAGCATTGAAACGTGTGTCTTATTTATGGTAAAACATATGAACATCTTGACATGGGAAGTTTCCCTTAGCCTGAAAGAACCCTTTTGGTTACCTGGTTTCTTCATCCTCTCTTTATAAAGCAAAATGGTCCAAATAAAATATATTCTGAATGGAACTCTTCTCTCGCGAATATAATCGAGGACGTGGTAAATGTGGCACTTACGATTGTCACACACGGCTCCATAGTATTCCCCGTCACACACACACTGAAACCGAACTCCTCTGTCATAGCAAGTGGCTCCGTTTTGGCATGGACTCAGATTGCAGAAATCCTCGAATGCTGAACATTCATAAAATAAGTAGTCAAAGTTGCTTTAAACTGCCTTAACTTGTGATTCCAAACTTGAATATATATATTTTTAAATTCTTAGTAGCGGAAACAAACTTCTTTCGTTATAAAATAAATATATCAAGAGTTTTGCAATGTACAACTTACATCGCATTATAATTATCGAATACCTACACGGATTTATTGTTTTCTTATGTTTGTTTTTTTATTTATTTTTATTTTTGCACATACATACTGTATATGATTTCGGTGTTAGTTTACAAGTGTTCTTTTATTATACTTGCAACTGCAAAACGTCATAGTCTAGGCGTATTGGTAATATTTAGATATAACTGCATAAAAAATAAAATACCAAAGCTTTACTTGAATTCCAAATCGAAATAATCTTATCTATAATTTGTTTCAATTATTATTTTATATTTTCGTAAGATGATATTCGGGGTTTACATCAAATCTACATCTTTTGCATGTCTTACCAACTGATATGACAAAGACATCCGCTAAGGCCATACCTGTAAAGAAAGGTAGGTACAATATATAACGTAACATAAAATCATTTACGTGATAATAAGTTTGTTAATAATGCCGTCCTATTCAAAGGAGTTAATCAATTGTGTAAACCAATTATTTACTTAATCCGATATCCAGTGATGCAGGAAGATGGAAACCGATCTGACGTTTGCAGTTTAGCATTATCTGCTTATTTGGTCTCAATGCTGACCATATTGTACAACAAAAATGCATTTTTGACACGTGAACAAGTCGCATGACCTGGAATTCTAATTACCGGCATTCGTTTCATGTGTGCTACCGGTGTCGCTGTATAGGACGTAGGGATTGGTATACGAGTTTTCCCAGTCACAGGATCCACCAGACTCGGATACCACCATCCAACCCGCGTCCCCGTCGCATCCGCCGTAACTGTTCTCCACAAAGAATCTTCGGCCGTAAGAGGAAGCCCTGCAATTATACAGTGCTAAAAATATGATATGGCAATTTCATCAACGAAAACATCGTTAATATAATAAACATGATATGCTGGATCTATTTTTATTAAATGCCTGGTGCTAATTCCCAGCCCTGATTGGAGGAGTGACGTCACGTGACGAGTCTGTAAATATGTTACAGACCTCGTTCTATAAATAGAAAAGTGTTACAGACCTCGACCTAGAAATAGAAAAGTGTTACAGACCGCTACTAAAAATAGGCCGAGGTAATTTCCCAGGCAGTCTGTAAATCTGTTACCATTCACAATACTGAAATCAAATACAAATGAATTATCTCATCAACTTCTGAACTATGTTAATATTGATGATGTCAATTGTTCAAAAAATATTTACTTGAAATTAAATATCACATGAATTGAATCTGAAATTTATTTTTTGTGTATGTTATTTTGTATTTGAAGTCCTACACTCTGTGATTCCAAAATGGTCCATGCCATCTATGTGCTTATGCCATGATAAATTATTAATCTTATCGTAAAATGTCATATAATAAAACAATTGTGGACTTCAGTTTCGGTCTATCCCTGATTTACGGACCTGGTCTGAACGATATTCACAGAGGCCGAAGGATAGACCTCGCCTGAAGTCCATAATTGTATAGAGTCTTTGACACAAGTAAGAATATAAAGTATTTTCAGAATGATAACGTTCATTTCTGCGAGTATATTAACTGGACACAAGACAATGAATGTATTTATACTTAACACAGAAATGATTCACCGGTGATGTTTTATATTATTCAAAGGGTGATCACACGTTCTTGAATGAATTGTTACCTTTTACAACTGTACATATAATTAGGTGTATTCGGATTTTGTTATAAAACAAACAACAACATATAGTAAGCTCCGGTTCAGAACAAAGAACTTATGCCCGAAATATAGTCTGTAAATTTCCTAAAATAACCTTAAACAGTGTCTCACATTGAGGTTTTAAGTAAAGATGAGTGACGTTCTCGCATATGGAAGACAAGTGAGTACACATATAAGGCTTATGCATGGCTGGATCAGTAGTGCGAATACAGGAAAGTATATTGTATATTACATGCTGACGGATAAGTGACGAGTACGGGTCAGTATGTGATTGTAGGTAAGTGACCTATCCACTGATGGAACAGTTTTGTAAATACGAGTAAGTGACCAACCCACTAACGGACAGTATGTAATTGCAGGTAAGTGACCTATCCACCGACGGAACAGTTGTGTGAATACGATACGAGTAAGTGACCAACCAACTAACGAGTCTGTAGTGTGATTATGGGTAAGTGATCAACCCGCTAATGGGTCAGTAGTGTGATTACGAGAAAGTGATCAACCTACTAATGGGTCAGTAGTGTGATTACGAGAAAGTGATCAACCTACTAATGGGTCAGTAGTGTGATTACGAGTAAGTGACCAACCAACTAACGAATCTGTAGTGTGAGTATGGGTAAGTGATCAACCCGCTAATTGGTCAGTAGTGTGATTACGAGAAAGTGATCAACCTACTAATGGGTCAGTTGTGTGAGAACGAGAAAGTGATCAACCTACTAATGGGTCAGTAGTGTGATTACGAGAAAGTGATCAACCTACTAATGGGTCAGTTGTGTGAGAACGAGAAAGTGATCAACCCACTAATGGGTCAGTTGTGTGAGTACGGGTAAGTGATCAATAAACTTACGGGTCAAAAGTGTGATTGCAGGTCGGTGACCTATCCACTGACGGAACAGTTATGTTAGTACGGGTGAGTGACCAACCCACTAACAGGTCAGTATGAGATTACAGATAAGTGAGCTATCCACGGACGGATCAGTTATGTAAGTACGGGTAAGTGACCAACCCACTAACAGGTCAGTTTGTGATTACAGGTAAACCTACTGGTGAGTGACCAACCCAATAAACTAACGGGTCAAAAGTGTGATTGCAGGTACGTGACCTATCCACTGGCGGAACAGTTATGTTAGTACGGTTGAGTGACCAACCCACTTATAGGTCAGTATGTGATTGCAGGTAAATGACATATCCACTGACGGAACAGTTATGTTAGTACGGGTGAGTGACCAACCCACTTATAGGTCAGTATGTGATTGCAGGTAAATGACATATCCACTGATGGAACAGTTATGTTAGTACTGGTAAGTGACCAACCCACTAACGGATATGAGTGTGAGTGCGATTAAACAGATAGGCCCTTGGCGGATCAGAAGTGAGTACGGCTAAATTAGCTGATGATTCAGTATTGAGTACAGGTAAGTGACCTACCCGATGACTGAACAGTAGTTATGGGTACTACCGCGGTTGAGGTCACTATAACTACTGTACAGCAGTCTTTCAGAACACGATAACCAGTCTGTTCGACTAGACGCGTGGCCATCGAACACGAGGAAGGCAGCCTCGGACCCACTCTTGATCATGGATATCCTCACCTTAAACGTAGATTGCAGATAATACACAAGCATCACTCTTTAAATCTCCAATTCACATTCTAATCAATACCGGCAGCGATGTTAAGATAAAAGCTTAGTCTGTAATGTCATATTTCATATCTGCCGGTAAGTATACAACAGGGTTCCAACGTATTTGCGATTGTAACGAATTAAACACACGTTTAAAAAGTTGTTTCTGATACTCTAGAACGCAAAGAATATTAAGTGATGTTTTACGAATTATCATTTTTTTTCTAATTTGTTTTCATAAAAAAAGTAAACGTTTAAACATTTGATGAATTATAACATTTCCTGAGCATAACAAAGGGACATTTGCTGAGAAATTAATATTTTTACCTATGCTAAACGAGAAATGAAATGATGTTGTGATATTTTGTAATAAGATTATACATGATTAATACATATTAACAAGGAAATGTTTTTGAAGAGAGTTTTCATTTCAACGTCAAAAGGAATTATAAAACAAAATAGAATAGCAATTATAATTATATTGAGACAGATTTGGTCAAACTCGTCAAAAGAAACAAAACATACGTTTTCAGCAGTTGTCAGTTTATCAAAATAAGGTTTTGGAACTTACCGCACTGATATAGTAACTGGTCCAATTTTCGACGATTCTTGACCGGTAACTGGGTGTGCCGGAACTGAAGGAATAAGCGCTAGAATCGAACTCGTTTATATTGTAGGAGCTAGATGAAGAGATCCACAGATAATATATACTACTTGCTGGCGAGGTCGATTGTCCATACGCCACCTTCATTACCGGAAACCAACCTAAAAGGAAGATTGTAAATATAGATACCGCGTTTTCTCCAACCTCCATTGAAATGCCTCCCGTTTTACAGGTACACAAATGTACCTGTTGAACATTCTCAGTCACCCCATTAGATACGATTTCTCTGTCATCCCCTACGGTATGATTTCTCTGTCACCTGCTATGTTATTGCAAATTTGACGTTAAATACAAAAATAAATGTTACCTGATCCTCTATATGAAAAGTAATAAAACATGTTTTGACTATATTCATAGTGAAAATAGCGTAATTCATATACAACCATGAATAAGTCAAAACTATTTTCATGGAAAGCTCTCGATTTAACGCATGTTTCCTTAGCAACGAGCCCAAGCATGCAGTTGATCTCGATTAAGTCGTTTTGCGAACACTGACGTCGTTTGTTTACGAGCAGACGTTTCCGCAGATGGCTGTCGCTCAACGAGAACGTTACTGGAATTAGTTGAAAACAGGGATTCCTGAAATACCAAAAGTGTTATTAAGGCAGCGGTAAGAATTCTAACGGCATATTGCGATGCGAAGGATTCTCCATTGTTGGACTTTGAAACGTCCGAAAGTGATACACGTAACACCAAACTACAGACGTGTTCCGCGGGTATTCGAATAAAAAAGGGAGAATGTTACACCAAAACGTCTACGCTATCAATAAGATATGGCCTTCAGACACTCTTTGCAAAATTACGTCAGATAGACATTATAAATGACCCTGATTTTAAACGAGCAAACAAAGCATTTGAAGCAGTTTTAGTAAAATTAAAACACAAAGGAAAGGGAGCGACAACTCTTGGTGTTCAGCATGTCCATTTCCATTAACAGTAATAAAATGTGTTGTGTTGAATTTTGTCGTGTGTATACAAATGTTGTCCATACAGATAATTGTAAGTAACACAACAGTTAATTCATGCCCTTTAAGTCAATAGTCAAAACTGTTTTCTCGAGGTGTTGGGACCAACCTGGTGAACTTTGTCCCAAGGCCGTAGTCTGTAATTCTATATCATGTCAGAGGAACAGTCAGAAATGACATCACAATCAACTCTTGATAGAAGAGGTCATATACAAATCAGGATAAAAAGAGACTTACGAAAGCTGAAAACTATTGTTTAAGCATAGTATTGAAATTATGGGAGACCAATAAGCATCACCATCTTGAGGATGTTACAGAGAAATCTTAAATCCTCGGAGGGACTATAAGGTTGTCTAACCCTCGGCAAAGCCCCAGGTTAGACAACCAAAAATTACCATGTGGTAGTATATTTCTCTGTCACACCTCAAGGTAGGAAGCTGTTTCATCAAACTAGAAACCCTGCGTTATCTAGTACATATTACAACTCATGCATGCAATGTCATTAGAGGAGGAGAGGAGGATCCAGCAAAATAGCTTTCCCACTGTAGAAAGTTAACGTTGCTTGAAAGCCTATTATTTATTCTTTCTGTTGCATACATGCATATCCAATGTAACATAGGATAGTTTTCATGAAAAACGGTACAGGCGTACGTCGTCGTAATGTTATTTGTTTTAAATTACCTTAAAATAAAAAGCAACAAAGTGATAATGTAGAAATGAAGACTTGATTCTCTGTCGGTGTAGGCCTATGGTAATGATAACTAGTTTTACCAGTTAAGGATCCCTGTCCAACTGCAGGCAAATAACTCGAGTAACCTCCTCTCAACCTCGTTCTGGATATAGCCGCTGAGGGATTGGACAAGGCTACTACCACTGATTAGATACGATCGGGGTCTGAGGTTCAAATCCCACCCCCTCCCCAACTTTTTTCTTTTCTTTTAAACTTATTGTTTTTCCAAACAATACAGCACGGTATACCATGTGGAACATTTTTATTGTCTAACATTATCATACACAGTACATACCTTTGACGAACAGTCCCATCACATTGGCTGACGGGAATCCACCACTGTTCCAAGTCGATGTTGCTAAAGACGTGAATCAATTACTTAACTTTTTGTGTGTATTTTTTGTATTTGTTTTTGTTAAATCCACATCAAACAGACAATAGGTACATCCCCTCACTTGTAGAAAGAAGCACTCGTTTCTCATTACCATTATCATCATCATCATCATCATCATCACCACCATTAGCATCATCATCATATGTGCACTTTGATAAGCAACATTATCACAATCGTCATCATCGTCCATTATATACACATTGACAAACATTGACAAGCATCGGCTTGATCTTTGACATGATTATCATGTAAAACAATTCTTTAACTTACAGTATATATCATACATGGAACACAATCGACGGTATTTATGTTCAAATCAATGTTGAGAGATGCAAGTACATACAGGTGTATCAATGGAAAATGCTTGCAAAAACATTGCATATATGTGCTATCCTCGTTCACAGACGATTGATACGTTGTTGACTCTTTAAGCATCGAGCCTGAATTATGCATATACTTTACGATGTCACGTTATAAACTTATACAAATAAATAAAAGCACCTACGAACAAAACCAGTGCTATTGGGTTCATTTATAACATATTACACTTATATAAAATACTGTCAGAGTACTTATTTTAGCGGAAATAAATTTTAGCGAATCAATGCATTGATGAATTGGGAGACTCACAAGATATGCAAAAAAATAAATCTACAGAAAATTCAATTAGCGCAGTCATAAATTGGTGAAATGATTAATGTCCGAAAAGCAATCACACTTGAGTATCGTTTGAATACATGTATGTATGTTTACAGCATCAACCGGAATGATTATATTTTAATACTATTTACCTAAATATATAAATATTCCCTTACACATTCAATATTGAAGTGTCTGTGTCGTTAGCGCAAGCAAGATTCCAGGAACAGCCTAACGTCACCACAATGTTTGACTCAAAATTACGCTGATCACATGACTCTATGGACGCAATTTCGTTTGGTACAACTGTAATGCTTAAAGGGGACTTTGCCATAGACGTATCAATTATAATGATACCGAGGGTTACGCTAGAATGGGTATCTTAATCTTACTTGGGCCAGGACAAAGCCCGTTGTTACCTCTGAACTGATATATCGGGTGTTATACTGTGTGTTACACTAAAACTGTCATAACTTACCTGAGTCCGGAGCCACACTGGTTGTTCCGTTGCTGTAGAGGAAGTACGGCCTGGTTGTCACGTCCTGGTCAAACCCGCAGGGTTTACTGTCCGCTCCAGCATCCATTACCAGCATCCAGTGGTAGTCGGACGTACATCCACCATGGGCATCCGTCACCGCAAACTGTCGCACAGTGTCGCTGTAAATATCCTCAATTTTAAAATATCGCGTCGGCTTGATCTTTGATATACATTATGTTATTATTATTATGTAAATAATCATTTACGTAATCTGGATTCAGATTATGCTTTGTTAACATTCAATATTTCTATAATCCTTAGTAGTTTGTGCAATGGTGTAAATACGTATTTCTCCCAAGACGTCCCAGTTCTTGGCCATTGTGTCCCGGATCAGAAACAGGAATATGTATTCCCAAGAGAAACTCGGTTAACCTCGTGTCTTAATACAATTTGAAAAAATTACTAAATCGAGTCACATTTAACCCTCACTCGTTGGGGAACCTTAAGCTCTCTTCCTCTGACAAAAATCTAACATAGTTATCACAATCTATAAAACTCAAAGAAATCTATTTGAAATTAATCAGATTTTCACTTCCGATCTGAGAATTGCATTTCTGACCTCTTGATGAAAGGCAAGAGTTCACGAGACAACCCAACTACACATGTCAACGAGGAATGTCTTTCGTAAAAGGAAATGCTAGTTTCACTTTCTTAAAACAGAACATTAAAAGTTACTAAGATATAAATTAAAAAACCAACCCTCTTTTGTATATTTTTCATTTTCCATTTTTGTCTGTCTGTCTGTGTATAGGTATGCACATAGCAGTAAAAAGGTTATGTGATATCAAAAGATATACACATATCACAATTAACAAGTGTGTAAGATTTGGTCAAAGATCGTTATATTTGTGCGAGTCTATGGTAATGATAATCTGAAAAAAACAACTTTAATGTGAATATATGTAAATACCTGTAAGATCTGTCGTAGGGATTCTCAAAAATGCATTGGTGGTAATTTATTCTCAAACAAATATTCCGTTAAGTTAGCTTATGCATTCTTACCCGCCAATACTGCAGTAAAGAGGGGCCGATGTCGTCAAGTCCGTGTACTTGCTAGCAATTATATTTGTCGCCGCAAAAAATGACGTTTTGGTAGAATCCATAGCTTTAAAGACAACGTAAGCTTTTTCCTCTCCATCATTGAAGAATGCATACTTTACCTGTAGATATATAATACAAAATCTGATTGTTTGAGATGTTACATGGCATTTGATTGGTCAATCGAAGAACTTACTGATGCTACTTTCAACGAATTTCTCATTTGCATATGAAGCCCTAGTGATGATTGGTAATGACCCCGACTGACCAAAACACGTTATGTAATTGATGAGCTCTGCATGCAAGAAGAACCCAATTTGCGACAATATATTCTCCCAACCTTCACACGTGTGTCTCCCATTTTTAGCCGGGAAAGATCAGCTTGTCACCCCTAGGGGGAGATAACCTCGTGCCATCGAAAGTGAATGACGATACGCATACCCCCCATGTGTTTTTGTTTAGAAACATGGCAGACTACTGTCGGTGGAGCTGTGAATGAAATAATAGGATGGGAGCAAAATAAACATCCCCTACCTTGAGGATGTAAATAAGGTTAACCCCGAATGATTAATGATGTTTGAAATAATCATCTAATTAAGATTTTAAGTAGTACGTAAAAACAACACGGCTAAAAAAAGCAATACAAAGATAATCAAACAAAAAAGAAGTGTCAAGTTAAAATACGATAAAAATATGGCAATATAAAGAGAGACAAATTTGCATTTTGAAAACTCAAAAACTTGAAAAAGGAGAATACATGTACGACCAGGTGTTCCGGAAGAGTAAGTATTTACTTCTTCATCGACGACACCCGCAATGTAAATCTACGTCTAAATATATGTCAAAAATGTCAAGCCATCAAATCAACACGGGGTATTGACAACGGGATGGCATGGCATACGAATGAAAACGTATCGAACAGCATATCACACTAAGACATAGCGTTTGTCTTACGAAGTAAACATAGATATCACATACGTTTGATCTCAAATATGAAACAGAAAAAGATATTTTACTGACCTATCGTTACAGAATCATAAATCACACCCCAACATCTGTCCCGAATTCACAGACCAATGATTTTCTTTGTTACATTTATATTTCATAATTGTTGAATCTTCCATGATGAAGACTGCGCATGTAGCAACTCTGAATGAAGTACATCGTAACAAATCATTTTACAGTTAGCACTGTGATCCCAATACAACAGCCATGGATTTATACAAATATCATTCCGTACATGAACCTTTAGCAAACATATGAAAGACTATTTACTTGTTCAATGAGTGTGAAATCTTCCGTCCAAATCTCAGCAAGTCCGTCCTTATAGTGGCTACTTGGAGAAGTAGTCAGGGTTCGTGCAGCGCTTACTCCGTCGTTCTCGAGAGTTGATCCCTCCCATGAACTCTGCAGGGAACCGGCACTAGGTGTTATTCCTTCTATCCCTTTAAATACCATGTGCCATTCTACAATACAAAGTTATCAGCGTTAAAGATAATATTCCCGGCCCAATTACGCCCGATTTTTGGCATATACATGAATTTATGAACATATATCAAATTTAAGGAATTGTTTGGGGATAAAACATATTATGAGAAGTTCTTTTTACACAACCAATAACATTTTCTATGTGACGTTTCGATGACGATATGTACACTTTCACCTTCATCAGACACATGACCAATTTAGCGTATGCACACAAAGGTGTAAAATGTGTACGAGTTGTCCATACAATCGATGTCGATTTCAGATAAAACATATTATTTCGATTAAATCAAATACTTATAATATATTACAAGAATGGATGAGTGACCGAAAAGCAAGAGAGAAGAAATGAACCAGTAGAGGGAATGAAGAGAAAGAGGCCTCCTGCATGTGGCTTCATGTTGTGAGACGGATAAACTCGGTTGACCTTCACCCAGGTATATCTCCAAAATAATTAATGGGGAAATAAAATCTAATTTGAACCTAAAAGAGCTGGGGTGCAATTGAAAAAACCTACATCATTCCCTTAAAAAAGAATGGAGTGGAGAGGGCCTAGTAAGTTGTAAGAACTTGTGCACAATCCCTTTGACTATTCAGTGTCAATAAAATATGTTTGAATGAACAAACACAAATTGTAAAATCTGTTCAACCTGACATTATTGTAGTAAAACTATACATACCCATCACTGACAGTGTGACGGCATCGGCATCCGACTTGCTCGCTACAGAACATCCAACAGAACAAAGTCAGTTTCTGATACACGCTTTAAGAGTAAACGTTAGTCATGTCAACGTTTTTATAAAAAGAAAGCGCTTTATATTTCATGTACATGTGAAATAAATATGGAATATAATTTATACGTGTGATGAACAACACTTGAGAACCATTCTGTGGTATAAGTTGAAAAAGAAAGACAGCATAAAAAGCTGTTAATATTGATTTTTCTTTAAATTGCTAGTTGTATATCAATTTATTACTTCATTTTGTCTTTATTCCTTTCTTTATTCAGTGTTGTCTGGGAATAAATATGACATTTACTCCTAGATGCATTTTGTATAGGTTATTTATGAGGTTCTGTATGAAGAACTAACTTACTATTGCAGTTTAATAGTGCGTTTCAACAATGTACACTTGTCAATGTCAGTACAAAAATAATCGTGACGTCATCAATTGGTCTATATACCTACCATCCCAGGTTGTGTACGTCGTTCCCGGGGCATATAATAGTCTAACGTAGCTATAGGCAGGGTCCCAGGCACATCCTTCGTCAGCGTCCGTATCCTTGACAACTAACCAGCCGTTTTCACTTTCACAGCCTCCGTATCCTCTCTGGATAATGAAATTTCTTCCGCCGTTTCTGTGAACAGTTATCATTACTTAACTAATTAAGTTGAACGCAAACACATATGGCAAGGAAAATGTCTTATATGTGGATGAAAAATTCATGTGATATTGAAGATAGGCAAAACACTTGTTCAAATGATACATGCGAAATAAGAATTATGATCAAGTTAAAATCTGATATAGAAGTATATACAGTCTGTTATGGCTACAAAAAGCGTGTGTGCATATCTGCATGCATCACTTATGCTCTCTACACAGACGCTTTGTGAGAGTTGTAGACAAGACCGTACCGGATCGAACCCATTGGCTAGGGAAGCTGATTTGTATATGTTGTCTGAATTGATTTTACCACGTAAAGGACGATGGACGATAAGGGTTATTTCCGGCCTCATCGGTGATTTAGAATTAGTGGTTATATTTGTAATATTTAATAAATGAAGTACGCAAATATGAAATCTCAAATTCATTTTGAAGGAAATTAACTAAACACTATTCATTTTTTCGAAAGCCTCTGCATGCACCAAACAAAAAAATATTTGACATACTTAGATATTGTCATACCGATGTGCATTCGTATAAAGGATTTGTTTGTTGGCACATGGGAAGGCATATTTTGGATATTTCTGCATAGTAACGCAATTTTATTGCCATAGTAGAGCATATTTACGCATGCGCATTAGAAAAAACCTGCACCGTGAAAGATGGCCCCAATATAACCAATACTATGTTTATAACCGAAATTGGTAAATCAATTCAAGTATTATCTAAATACGTCAGAACCATTGCCATCGCGAATATTTCAACACCCTAATCAGTTTTCAGAATCACAATGCGAACATAACCACACGCAAAAATTTCCACTTTACAGTAACTTACGAAATTTGGCAGGTGATGATAGTTTCTGTAAATATATCCGTATAGCTTGAATCGATGATGTTGTTACAGTCCATCCAGGTAGACACTGTCTTTCCCATGGTACTGAACGTAAAGTAGGCTTTCTCCACGTTATTATCCCAAAAAGCGAGACGCACCTGCAAGTTTATTAAAAGAGAGTTAAAGAGTTTGTTATGAAGTTACTCGCGATTCAAGCTTTCGGGTTTAGCCTTTAATCAGGGAGTCTCACCCTTATGTCACATTCCTATATGAAAACTGTAAGTTTGGACACAAGTTCAAGTTCAAGTTCAAGTTCTTTATTAACTTTAAGTCTTGCGACTTATCAGTGTACAGTCGTTTTTTTTGCAAACATTCTGTTTTCAAATCAGGAATGTGACATACGGGTAATGATCGTTCAATCTCTGATGAGCCCGAAAGCCCGTAAGTTTGGATCAAGATTGACATTTGATATTTATTTCATTACGCTTCCTGTTGGAACATGGTGATATATACTTAGTTTGGGACACAATAATAATAAATAATAATACGAGGTTGTTATATACCGCTTTATCACAACCTAGTTCGTAGGTCGTCTGAAAGCGGTTTACAAATGAGTATCCGTGGTTATAGGGTCTTTGGAACCAGCCAACATCTTTCACAACTCCCTGGGGAGCATACAGACGGTGCTGCCATTTTGGCGCTCACAGCTAGCATTCAACAATTCTGGCACGGCCCAACCACCCAATGACGTACTCATTTACGGCTGAGTAGACTGATGCAACCATGCCATGACGTGACTCGAACCCGCAACCCTTTGGTCACGAGCCCGGCGTCCTACCACTAGACTACCGTGCCTCCATAAACAATAAAATCAAATGATTTAAAAAAAAATCATTTACAAACTGAACAGTCGCTAAGGGAACGCAAATACAAAACGAAAGACAGCATGACCCCCAAAGGACTCCATAATGATAATCAGAGGGAAGGAGGAGGGATTCAGCGATGTCCACAAAAAAGGGAGTGACAATTGAGTTGTCTTGGTGTTCAGGTTAAAGGTCGAAGCAGAATTATATATGTGTCAGTGAGATTAAGAAATGATTTCGTGCAACTAGAATTTGAAAGTTACAGCTCTTTTCACAAGCATCGTGACAACTTCAGGATAAATAACGTTTAAAATTTGGCTTTTGTGATGGTGAAGTGCTATTCACCGAGTGACACGACTCCTTAATATGTGTAAACATGGTTAAAAAGGCATACTTAAAAAAATTAATATTCATCCGAAAAAAAGCTCTACATGTGTTTTAGAGAACTGGCCACGTGTATGGATGGCAGACAGATTGGTTTGCACCAAGAAAATTGTAAAATGTGATAAAATGTAAGGGCTAATGCATTTATGCACGTTTCCATTAGAATATACACAATTAACTATCATTTTATTTTCCGTTGCTGTAATGTGTTTAGTGCGATTTACCATCAGCGGGAGGTCTAACTACAGGTACGTTTACACGTATAACACTGTATCAAAAGAAATATGTATTTTCTACATCAGCAGGTGAGCTCGTGCTATTTGACCTCGTTACGTCTGTATAATAACTTACTGCCGATATGGTCCTGGACGTGCCCCATTCATCCAATATGGTGGATCTAAATCTTGTGCCAGTCGAATATAAATCTCGCATCACCGACACACTTGTCTCGGAGGATCCGCCCGACGTGGTCAAGAAGTTGGCTGCACTGGTCAGTCCTGACATATAGTCGTTACGATGGACTTTATACACCAGTCGCCAAGCTGTACGTACAAATAAGGATAATTAAATTTCTTAATGTGGGAGGAAACCGGATCAACTGGGGGG